TACAATTTACATATTTAGCATTTGATTCTAAACAATTGGAATTTGAAATTACCGAAGGTAAAATTATTTTTATTTGTCTAATAATATTTATTCATAAAACTTAATGAATGATGCAATTATAGAAATGCAACAAGAGTATCTTAAAAGTACTGGGGCCGATAATCCAAATAAATCACGTGGTAATTAACATAAATCATTACGTGACTGTGTTTGCATAATTTAATTATTTTTATTTTTATTCTTAATTTTAGATGATCAAGAATATGGAGTTGCTGGCCCTTCAAATTAAGGCTCATCTCGAAATTTATTTATTTATTCTTAGAACTTATTTTTTGTTTTTTTTTTTTATTAAAAAAATTTAATTTATTTTTTTTGATTTTTTCTTATTCAAATAAAGTTATTTAAAAAAAATTTTAAATTCATGGAAACAGATTTATTTTTATTTTCATCAAGATATTGCTGCAACCTCATGAGTATTTTTTTAAAAAAATATATTATCAAAATAGAATAGAAATCATTATTTCAGTAAAGAAAATGAATTTTATTAATAATTATAAAATTTCTGTGCCCATTTTACAACATACAGCATGTAATGTGGTTCGATATTAACACAATTATTCTACTTAAATTAATATTATTTGCGTAATCAAAACTTTCTCGCGTGTAAATATACTAAAAAAATATAAAAATTATATTTAGAGTCTTATGATTCGTATAAAATTCCAAAGACAATAATAATTAATAATTAAAAAAAAATTCTAAACCCACTGTTAATCTGTTAATGAAATGAAAAAATTGTAATCCGAAAATTTCAAACTAAAAGATTATATGATTATATATTAGAGGAAATTCTTACGATTTTTAGAATTGGATTTTTTTTTTCTTTTTTGTACGTACGTCTTTCATTTTATTTGTTTATTTTTTTTTTAAAAAAAAAAGGAAATTAAAAATAAAAATATGATCATAATAATAATCTCTAATATTTAATGTTGATTTCATTTCAAAACTTTAAAAATTAGACAATTATTTCAGAATCAGCTAAATGAGATAGAATTGAAATTAATATACATTCAATATATAAAAAAAAATGGAATGGTGGCACGGATAGACTAAAAAATAAAAATAATAAAGTATTGAAGTAAATGACCTTACCGTTTTGAAATCTCCGAGTAACATTATTCCATTTTTCTCTTGCCAGAGTTTCAATTACACATATTTTGTCTTTTAACAAGCCAACAATTATGATTAAACCCTTTTTTGAACTTGTACATAAAGCTTTAAATATTCAATGGTCTTTGGTTATAAAGCAACCCCAATATACAGTAAACAATAAGCAAAAAAAAAAAAAGGATAAACTTCAGATCTCGCTCTTTTTCACGGAAAAAAAAAAATCGAATAAAATAAATTTACTTTACCAGAAGTGATAATACCATAAAGGCAATCTTTATTGTCATTTATATTTTCTCACCCAAATCTCAAAATAATGATTTATCCATCTTTTGTAGTACAAAAAAATCTCAGATTCCATTATTATTACATAATCAATTTCGCCATAAATTTTTGCTTTTGTTAATATATGTATATATTTTCTTCATTAATAACACTTGAGGCTAAATTCCTATAACTTTTAATTTTTTTCGAAATATTATTCTTAAAAATTCAATCTGTCTGTAAAATAATATTCAATTAGCTGCTCATTTGTGTTGTTATATTTTGAATCTCCTCAGTGTATATATATATATGATGTTGTGAAGGGAGCAGTTTATCTCAGTATCCAAAAAATATTCACTACCATATGATTGAATGCTTAGGTTAGATAATCAAATTTGTTACGTTCGCCACATTCGCATTAGCAGAAAATGAATGTATTACGTTTATTACATTATATTACATATTTTAAATTTGTGAAACAATATACAAAAAATATAATAACATTTAATTAAAAAAAATGAATCTTGAGAAAAAATAAGGGGAAATGCAGATTTTTGAGTTTTTTGAAATCTTTACTGCAGTTCCCTCAAATTTTGTGTATTATTTATATAGTACACAATTAAAAAATTGAAAATGATGCTTAATATAATTAATATATTAATATGCTGTTACATCATACATGTTGTACATACATATTCTAAATAATGCTGTACATAAATTATTTAGAAAAAAAAAGAAAAAATTCGAAAGTTCATCATAGAAACCTAAATAGAACCAATTAAGTAACACGTGTGAGTTGCACATTTGATTTTATTTTATTTATAAAAATCCTTTTTCATTTATTTTTAATTTTATTTATCGTTCGTTTCAAATCTTATTCTTCACTCCACAAATACCTCCATCCCATCCTTTCCCTTCCTACTTTCATTTAGTTTCCCTTTCTTTTTTTTTTTCTATTAAAGTAGTATTTTTGTTCAGTATTTTATTCTGAATATATTGTTCTACTTTTTTCAACTCACTCACTACAACCACACCACACCATCTTTCACACTCACCCAACCATTTTTATTTTTTTAAAAAATGAACATGAAACTATCATCATTCATTCTTTTGATTGTGGCTCTCGTGTTCGTTGCTACAACTACCGCCTCTCCCGCCCCCAAAAAAGAAGTAGTTTGCCATGGTCCCGATAGTATTAAATACTTAAAAAGTGGATTTGTATTCCTATGCGCTCCTCCAACCAAATGTCATAAAAATCCTTTTGGGGATGATAGTTGTTACGAAGACTAATAACAAAAGGAATTATTTTTAAAAGTGGAAACCATAACAACATGATAAATTCATTCTTCTCATAAATATTGTTCAAACATATTTTATTTTTTCCAATTTTATATCGTCCAGGTTCAACCATAATGATGATATATCGAGACTTGAACTCACTGATTTTCGGGGAAGAGGGCTTTATTTTTTTTTTTAATTATTATTTTTTTGTTATTATTTTTTTAATATTATTTTTTGTTGATATAATTTTCTTTTTTTTTTTGTTGATAAATATAATTTTTTTTTTCCTTTATTATAATTTGGTATTTATTGGAGTGAATGACGAAGGGAATTTTAGAGAAAAAAAAAAAAAAAACCGAATTATTTTAGATAAAGAATTCAATGAGTAAATTTTTTATTATATTATATTAGTCAAATAATAATAATATTATAAACTTTTACTTTTTGGGCCCGGAATGGATTATTCCTAATACTAACAATTCGTCGCATTAAAACTTTTGACGGTTTAATAATAACAATCGAATCAAGTTTTTTTATATTAGTTCCCGTTCAGTTTTGTAATTCTCTTTCTTACTTTTTTCTTCTTGATTTCTTTATTTGAATTAATTTTGATTTTTTTTTTTTCATTTCTTTCATTCATTAATTTTTTAATTTTTATACAATAATGAATAATAATAAATAAATAATAAAATATTATAGAATACAATATAATAGTGTTCGTTTACAAGTTCATATATGTCAATAATTAATTAAATACAAGATTAATTTTGTATTTTCTTGTTTTTAAATATCATTTGCCAGATACAGAAATACCCATATATATTTATATAAATATATATATAAAGTCAAAATATAAATTATGTAATACTTGGACCAGAATTAAGTGGTTGATCAAAAATGTATTTATTACTGTTATACAAAATTTAATTTTTGAATCCAAATAAAGTATATATTTTTAAGTGAGACAAATTTAATTAAAATAAGATCTTTTTTTTAATGTTCTTTGTCATGAAAATAGCAAAAATCCTTAATGATACAATTATTTGAATTACTTCTATTCATTTTATATCAATTATGCACAAAAAAAGAAAAAAGAAAATGAAATAAATGGTTTTTGTCACTTTTTAAATGGCAAATTATAAAATGCTTCTCGAGTAGGTGTAACTTCGGGAGTTGGGTATCGTTTGACGTTACCTATAAAAAAATAAACCAGTGATAATAAAATCAAGAATTTCAAGAAATATAAACAATGGGAATGACAATGAGAAGAAAAAATAGCAAAATATCAATCGTAATAATAGAGAAACCAAGGAAAAATATTTTTAATGAATAATAAAAACAATTAAAATAATATATAAATAAAATTCAATGATATATATAATAAACATAAATATAGACAAGAAATATAATGTAAAACGTAATATAAATATAATATAAATAAAATATAAATAAAAATATACAATTATGACTTTTTCGTCCCAATAAAAAAATCATTATTCACTCGTTGTTGTGGTTACCTTGCAATCCGACATTTTCAGCTCCAACCAAATCATTAATTACATGTTCAATGCTTTTAAAGTATTTTACAGTTTTAACGTGTAATTCTAAAGTAGCATCTTCATCACAAACGATCAATGCATTAGAGTGAAGTTGAATTGCAGAGACTGTCCACATATGATTTACTCCTATTAGAAATTATAATCAGTTGATATTAGTTGATATTAATTAATATATAATAAATATAAGAATATAATAATATAATAATATAATATGATATGATAGATTACCTTCTTCTATACATTTAGCCAATGCAAGTGCCTTATGAGCCCCTGTGATAATTATCGCTACTTCCCTTGCATCCATCACCGTTCTAATAACACGGAATGGAAAAAATGATTAATTCTAGGATTTTTCTTTTTTTTTTTTTTTTAAAAAAAAAAAAAATGATTGTTCTTTTTTTCAAAATAGGTGACTAAAATTTACCCCACACCAACAGTCAAAGCCATCCTTGGTACTTTATTGACATTATAATCAAAGAAACGCGAATTTGCTAAAATGGTATCATAAGCTAGAGTTTTGGCTCGTGTTCGGGAGGACAAAGATGAACCTGGTTCATTGAATGCAATGTGACCATCTGGACCAATTCCTGTAATTATTATAATTATTATAATTAAATTTAATCATTATATAATTATAATTAATCATTATCATAATCATTCAAAATCATTATAATTATTATAATTAAGATAATCATTATAATCGAATCATTATAATCGTTATAATCAAATTTCATAATATTCAAAATATTTACCTCCTAAAAATAATTCAACACCACCATAAGATTTCATCTTTTCCTCAAAATTTCTACATTCTTCTTCTAAATTTTCCGCATTTCCATTGAGAATGTGAACATTTTGTGGTAGAATATCAACAAATTTAAACAAATGGTGCCACATAAATGAATGATAACTTTCTGGATGATCTCTAATAAATGAATAATAAAAAAAAATAAAATTATTAGATTAAAATGAATTATTTGATAAATAATATATAATAATAATAATAATAATAATAATAATAATAAAAATGATACCTTGGTAATCCTACATATTCATCCATATTGAAAGTGACTACATTCTTAAAACTTAATTCTTCATTTTGATAATATTTTACAAAATTTTTATAAACACCAACAGGTGAAGAACCCGTGGGTAAACCGAGAACAAATGGTTTATCAGGAGTTGGATTAAATTCAATAATTCTATTTTTGATGTAATTTGCTATGAATAATTTTTTTTTGAATTAAAAAAAAAAAAAAAAATTTCTTAAACGCGCCAGAAACTAAAAATCAGATAAAACAATAAAATAAAATAAAAAAAAAATCAATACCCATATGTTCAGATACCGCGTCATAATCTTTACGTATAATGAGACGCATCTTTTAACTATTTTTTTTTTTTTTATATGTAGTTTTGAAGTATTTTATTTTATCTTTGTTTTCAAAAAAAAAAAAATTTTTTTTTTTAAATATTTAAAAAAGCGTATTCTAAGATAGATAGGTATATATATATTTCGATAGTTGTTCAGTCGGTAAAATTCGGAAACTAAATTTTTTATATTAATACAAGATCAAAAAAAACCCAAGTTCTTTTTTTTGACAAACACGAAAGTGGATTTTATTAAATACAAGAAAAGAACTTTTATGATATGATTACAATGATTTTTTTGTCGTACGATCTGAGTAAAAAATAAACTAAACTAAACTGTAAATAAAGTAAATTACAAAATCAAAAAATTTTTGTTTATACAATAATCATTACGTGTTTAGGTCGCGTGAACTAAAATCAGAAGATCTCAAGTATGAAGATCATCTTGTACCTCTTGGAAATGACTTTTAAAAAGGGAATATAAAAAAAGGCAAAAGCTCCGCCCCCAGAAAAATTGCTAATCAAACTCAAAAAAAAATCAATTCTTTTATTTATTCGATTATGGTAAAACTACTTAAAAACAAGCACAGTAAATATCTCGCTGAAATTTATATAAAAATTTATTTATATATGTGTAGTATAAAAATTTAATCAAAGATTATCTATTTTTTTTTTTCATCTATACGAGAATAGAATATTATAAAATATAGTATAAAAAATAAAATAATGAAATCATCATTATCAAATAATTATCATTATTTTTTTTTTCAAAGGAACCCTGATAATCCACTTCCTCTCTTTTAATATTTCACCGTAGTTCCTTCCTCTTCTTCCCTCTTTTTTCTTGTAGCGACGTCCCTTTTTTAACTGTTGCGAAGAGGAGAAGAGGAAGAAAGAGAAATCGCTGATTCCGAAATTGTCGATGTTAAAATCGTCAAAGCCGAAATCGCCGTTATGAAAGGAATAAAAGAGGAAAGAGAAAAGTGAGAAAGAAAAGAAAGAAAGAGAAGAGGTCAAAGAAATATAAAAGAGTGATGAGGAGATTAGGAGAAAGAATCGAAAAATGGTATAGAGAAGAGATGGAAAAAAAATAACAACCATCAAATCGTCACAGAGTACGTTACGAATGTCAAAGGGAAAAGAAAAGGCAGTAGAATATGAAGAAAATAAAGTGTGGATGGTGTGAATAATGTAGATGTGGAAGATTTCATTCTTGGATCCTCATTTTTAAAACCTGGCATTTTATTCTTTAGTAAGTATAAATTTTAATTATTATATTTTTAATAAGTGATGTGTATAATATTTTTTTTATTCAAAAAAATTGTATTCAATAAAGTTCATCAAAATTTAGATTCATCATCTTTGATATTTATATTATTATTTTTTTTTCAATTATTTCAATTATCATGGATTAATTCAAATGAAATTGAATGATATTATCAAATGGAAGATTTATTAATGCATAAGGAAAATAATCCCTTAATTTTTTTGGTGGAAGCATTTAATATCTGGATTGATTCAAAATCAAATATTGGCACACAAGAATAATAAGCTTTGCAAACCTTTGTACATATTCTGTACAGGATTTTTTTTTTATTTTGCAAAAATAAAGTGAACAAAAATAATGTACACACTAATGTATAAATTTTAATTTTTGTATGTGTATATATATATATATATTATAAAAATGTATAATATAAATGTATGATGTTCTTGAATAATGTAAATTAAAATTAAAAAAAAAAAAATACAAAAAATAACCTTTATATACAATTTATGAATAACCAGTTTCTATAAATATTTGAATTTTCATGGGAGATTATAAATATATAAAAATTTAGTTTACAATAAATATATGATGAAATAATTCACATCATCAAATGTGAAAAAATATGACCTATGTTATAGTGAATTAAATAATAAAAATAATGAAAATAATAAAAAAAAAAATAATTAAATTAAATAATAAAAAATAAAAAAAAATAAAAATAATAAAAATAAAAAAATAAAAAAAAAAAATAAAAAAAAAATAATAATAAAGAAAATAAAAAATAAAGAATATAAAGAATATTATACTGTAATTCCAAGTCTATTTTTTGTTATTCTTTCTTGATTCTCAACAATAAATATATCCGAATTTTTTTTATGATCTCTTAACCAATTTCTAACTTTAGTGTTGCTTGTTTTCTCCGCACTCTTAAATAACGGTTGTTTATTAAATTCCACCACATTTTCCATTAAAACTTTTAAAAGTTCAATATTTTCACGTAATGCTATAGCGTATTGTAAAATATTTAGATTTTTAAAAGCCGTAATGGTGGTAATCGTTTTGGTGGTAAAATTGATTTTACCTAAATAAATTAATAATAAAATTATATCTCGATCAATTTTATCTTGTAAATAAATTGCCAAGAAAAGTGTATTGGAAAAATCGGGAAAAATTTCTTTATCATGATCATCTTTGGCTGATTTAACGAAAAGATCCGCGTTGGCACCTTTTTCTAATAATAATTTAACCGTTTCAATTGCTAAAGGTGTCATTCCCAAATTACATTGAGTTATTTCTAATAAAAATCTATTTAATGGTGTTAATGTATAATTTTTTTTTTGAACCCAATGAATTCCTTGAGATAAACATTCATCATTTTTTGGTATAGCTTTAACGATATTTTTAAATGCTTCAAATTTATGAATTATTAATGAATAATGTAATACATTAAAATCTCTATATTTCATATCATAATTTGCCTTATTTTCAATTAAAATTTTAATTAAGTATGCAAAATTATTGGGTTCCATCCTTTCCATATGTACGCAAGCAAATAAACTATTTGGTAAATCATCCCAATGTTTGGATGTTTTAATTGGAAGATTAGCATTTGCTCCAAACTTTAATAAAAGTGTAATTAATTCAATTAATTTAATCGTTTGTCGGATTTCGGTTTGTTCCATAATTGCATATAAAATAGAACCTATAATATTTTGATAAATGTCTTCTCTTGGCTCTATTTGAACAAGTTGTCGTGCGACTCTTTTGTGAAGTTTTTCTTCTACTTCTTTTAATAAATCTATAATTCCGGAATAAAGTTTTTCCTTAACAGCGTACTCTAAAACATTTATTCCTTCATGATCTACTTGAGTAATCGCCACTTTATCAATTAATAAACCTATCACCTTTTTCCTATATCTGTCAGGAAGGTACAATGATAAATATAAAGAATTAGGAACTTTTGGGCATAAGGAAGTTTTGTGCTGTTTACTCTTAATAAAATATCGATCATATTGAAGATTATTTATATCTAGAGGTACATTTGCATCTGCGTCGTGATCAAGCAATTCTTCAATTATAGAACTATGATCCTCTTGTTCATTAATCATTCGAAGCAATACTAAATTTAAAACTGATAGTTCGTAAGGTTTCGATAATAAAGTTGGATCGGCTTCATTTTGTAATAAATATTGGACATGATTTTGATTAATCGAATTTCGAACGCAGGATAAAGCGAATAATGGTGAAACCTTCGGTGACAATGGTTCTAAAGATGACAATGGTTCTAAAGGTGCCAACTCATTAATCATCTTTCCAAGAAATCCAAAATCGAATAACCAACTAATTATGCTCTTAAATTCTTTTTTTCCTTGAAAATTATCATTACTGATAATTAAATGTAAAAAATGTGAAATATTATCTTCATATTCAAGTGAACGTTGGAATGATTCCTTAACAACATCAGGTTTGCCATATCTTGCTTTTAATTCTAAGAGCGTTCCTTCTATCTCTTTAATAGTAAGTTTATCCTCGCCCTCACAAAATATATTTTCCATATTTGCCATATTTGTTGAATAATAAGCATCATATCCGTGCCTTGGTAGTGGTGACCGTGGTGGTGTCACTATTTCTTGCTGTGGTGGCTGTGGTGGTCTCGTCGGTTCTTGCCGTGGCGATCTCAGCAGTTCTCGCTGCGGTGATCTCGGCGATTCTTGCTGTGGTATTGGTGATGGTTCTTGCTGTGGTATTGATGATGGTTCTTGTTGTGGTAGTGTCCGTAGATCTTGCAGTGTTGGTGCTCGTATACATAGTGCTTGTTGTGGTGATCTCAGCAGTTCTTGCTGCGGTGATTGTTGAAATTCATGCTGCGATAGTGTCCGTAACTCTTGTAGTGATGGTGCTCGTAGTTCCTGCCGTGATGGTGTTTGGAATCCGTATAATGTATTTCTATTAGGTTTTGGCGGTATTGGTGGCGGTGGGGGATATAAATCGGTATTTATTTTAGGAGGTTTTGGTGGTAATGGTGGTGGATGAACTATCGTAACGTTATTAAAAGCTTCTTTTTTTTTTTTAAAAAAAAAAAAAAAAGAAAAATGTAATTAAAATATTATATATGAAATTTCAAATGACGTAATTATGTAATTACCAATATAAGATTCACGGTTTAAAAGATTATTGAGATTATTCGTAAATGGAGAATCTGATAATTCTAAGAAAAAAAAATTTTAAATGTATAATGAGAATTATGAAGAATTATATGAAAAAAGTTTAGGAGAGAAATTTAAAATACCAGATGTATTTGTATTACTATCATTGTCGGGAGCGGTACGATATAAAGAATTAGAACCAGGAGAACTTATTGGTGAATCTATAACTGGAGTGTAAATAAGGATAGGGCGAGGAGAACTGGGCGAACTTATATTATTTGCATTATACAAATTATCAAAAATTTCTACTAATTCTTGTATTTTTGGCCTATTTTCTGGTAAACACTCTAAACATCTTATAATTATTTCCGATATAATTGGAGGGGTGTCACTAGTGAGCATTTTATAAAGTTTATCAATAGTCACAAAAGGAGGGACACGACAAGTCGATATTTCCCATATTAACATTCCAAAAGAATAAATATCCGACTCCATTTTTGGTCGATAACGAGAATTAAGAACTTGTGGATCTATGTAGGGGAGCATGCCGCATACGCTAGAAGATGTAGCTTCAGCTTCATTTAATAATTGTGCAGACAATCCAAAATCCGCGATAATTAATCTTGAATCTTGATGTATCAAGATATTTTTTGAATGTAGATCTCGGTGCGTGATCCCTTCATTATGAATGCATCGTAAGCCATGTGCTATATCTCTACACATCGTTATCTTTTTAGGCCAATTTAATTGATATTCATATTTCCTTAGGTATTCTCTCAAATTTCCATTTTCGCAATACTCAAGAACAAGAAAATATCTTTCATTTTCATGATCTTTATAAAATATAAATAATATTAATTTATAAAAGATTAACAAAAAGTTAATAACTCAGAGACAAGTCATTTGAAAAAATATATAATACTCAACCAATAGATACACCAAGGAAAGATATAACGTTTTTATGATAAGATAGTTCTTGTAATGACCTCATCTAAAAAAATTTTTTTTTTTTGAAATTATTTCTACTCCAAAAAAAAAAAAAACAAAAACGAAAAATTTTCTTATTTTTTACTAACTTCTTTTTCAATTAAACTTGATTTTCTGTTTCGATGTTGAACGCATTTTAAGGCCACTATTTGACCACCTTTTTTGTAATTTCCTTTTATGACGAAACCCGACGCACCCTTCCCGATTTCTTTAAGTTCTGTAAATTCTTTGAATTCAAAGTGTTTGACAAATCCATTATCATTCAGACTTGACATTTTGTGAAATTTTTTTTTTTCGAAAATCTAGATAGACAGAACAGATAGACATATATATATAAAATTCTCATGATCTGTGAATTGTTAACTTAATAAACCTCCGGAGTTTGGAGAAGTGAATCCGTGTCGTGCAATATGTTGATATGATATATTTATATTATATATAGAAATTTATTTCTTTTGAATGATAATTGGTATGGTATTTCATAATACTACGGTGCACAGTCTTGCCAAATTTTTGGTTTATATTTAATCATATGGTCCGAATTTGGTTATATTCTTTACATTTTTAAGCATAAAATGTTCAAATACAGATTGTGTAATTTTTTCCAAGTCTTTTCTAAACCCTCATCACGTCAAATTACAAAGTTAACATCAAAGAAACTATCACTCCAATTTGGTATTGTGTACATTACATACACTTACGTAATTCTTGGGATTTTCGGATGGTCAAATAATTAAAACATATTCATTCTTGATAGATAAAAAAAGCATTTAAAGTTGAGTATGGCAAATAATTAATTATTAAATAAAGAATTAAATGTAAACAAAAAATAATTTATTCATTAAAGAAATTACTTTTATTAGTTTATATAACTTGAATGAGTTGTCGTCATTGGTTGTATAAATTATTAATTTTCAAAATAAAAGATTATAATTAAATAGGCGGTGATTCAAGATCTAATTTTATTAATGTTACATTGCCTGTCTTTTTTAATGATACATTAGGTAAAGGGACTTTGTCAACCGTTAGTACGTGGGCGTTTAACTTGCAGATATTATGTTTCATTTTTATATCACTCTCAAATACATACAGATCTAATTAATTGAAATGATTGGATAAATATTGTTTTTCAAAAACGTTTTTTGACGAATATTTTCTTTCTCGTTTGTTGGGTTATTTTTTTATTGTTCTTACAAAAATAGTATAAAGATAAAAGATTTTTCATTTATAGTAATAATCATCTATCTATTGATTATCAGTTGAATATGAACCAACCTCTGATTGATAATACTAGGATAGGATAAGGATTAGGGTCTAATCACTTTTTGAAAATGGAAATTGTTTACTTTTTTTTATTAAAAAAAAATTACCAGATTCTGCCTTTCCACTGTAAACTATTGTAAAAAAAAATTATTTTAATATTAAAATTGTCGATAGTTAGGTCGGTTGTTCCGTCCTACCAATACACTACTTATATACTTATTTAATTGGAATACAACTGTAAAAATAATAAAAAATTTGTACAACGGAAGTTATGATTTATAAACGCGTGCGCATTTATTCCAACGTTAATACTAAGAAAATGTCCATTAAATTTTTTTTTTGACAAATTATTTTTCTGAATTTTTTAATGCCAAAAAAAAATAATGTAATAATGTCATCATTTCATTGAATTTTATAAAAAAGAAACATTTATTGCTCATTCAGTCGTCTTATCATTCTACTTTGGAAAATACTTCTACGTATAAGAATTATCACAAATAAATATCTCGGCTCAAATATTCGAAATTATTCTTTTAGTAAGTTAAAAAAATTTTTTATTTTTTTATTTTATACTACGATTAATATAAATAAATATATTAAATTTAGTTATTACATATTTAATGCAGAAACCAATGAATTAGAAAAATTATAAAGTTACCTTTTGAATCCAAAAAATTCTTTGGTTAAAATCGATTTCTCCCTTGTTTATTATTTAATAAAAGAACCAAGTTTATAATGATATTATTGAAAAACATCCAAATTCAATTTTGAACCAGAAGATTTCACTTCTCTCCGAGTAACAGCAGCCTTTAATTTTCTCTTTTGAAAAAAAAAAGATGACCTATATTTTAAGAAATAAAAATTTTGGATTACATCGGGAGAAAATCGAAAAAAAAATCCTTGGAAAACAACTTTGGGATTTAAATCAACATCTAATTTTTCCAATTACGCAAGTTGAATGACAAAAAAAAAAAAACAGGCAATTTTTTTTGGAAGTATGGTTAGAAATATTTGTAAATAGGCATAAATAGAAAAAAAATAGGCAGGTATATTTCTTAAGATAGTTTAAAAATATTTTCACACTTATACATCCCTTTTGTCATGATTTTTAATAATTTTACCAGCGAAATAAAGCGAAATAGGTATAAAATAGGCAGGTATATTTGCAATTAGGTAAAATTCCTTGTTTTACCAACAAGAATTATTCAACTCTTGAATTACCTTCAAGAGTAAATGAACTATTCTTAACTATAATCAATGAAGAACATGTAGCAGAAATTTCATCATGGATTGACTTTCAAATTTTTTCTTTAAGGGAGTAAAGACGGTTTTCATCCCAAAACATTCCGGGATGTGTGTCATATTGTGTTTCAAAAGTTGCAGGAACTGATGAGTTACTTGGTGGTGGTTGATTTATATTTATATTAGTTTGGGATAATTCGAAAATTTTAGGCACTTATAGGAAACCAAATGATAGTTTTATTTTTCATTGAAAAAGAAAATGGTAATATTCAAAATTAAATTCTCAATCGAATTAAAAAAAATAAAAAATGGAGCTATATTCTATTATAGCTCAAAAAATACTTATGGTCCACGTTTTAGTATTCATGAATTTTCAATGCAATTAAATGTTTCTGATTTTATTCAAAATAAATGCTGTTGTGATGTTGGTGCGGTGTTTTTATGAAAAATCTATTAGAATAACTGACGGACGATTTAGATTTTGAAAAATTCAAAACTTTACAATAAAATAATCACTTTGATTTTAATGTTGATGAAAAAACAATTTGAGAGAACTTGAATATTTTTGGTTTAGATGCCAATTATGTTTTTAAAACTAGTTTGTTGCAGGCTATAATTAATAAATAAGATATATGGAACGTAATGCAATTTACCGTTTTGGTTAATCAATCCATTTACTTTTGATCCTGTCAATCATTGGTCCATTAGCTTCGCAGCTCAGTTGGTTCGACTTAAGTTGGACTAAACCGGAGAGTTAACAAACTAGGTTATACAAGGCTATATGAATTGCTATATAATTTTGCAAATATCTAATATTGCATAATGCATTTATATCTGAAGTTCTGAGAAGATAGATTTCTTGCAAGTAATTAATTTAGTGAAAGATAGATATTTATAATTATCAAAAAAGTTCAGTTGAAACCTGAAAATTTTATGTTGTTATCGCGTAACATCTTTTGACCAATCACAACATTAACTTTCCTCCATGCTCACGTCCAGCGAAAATGATGTTATTTTTATTTATTCATAAAGCTCTCAGTCAGTTCAGTCTAAACCTAAACCGAACCGTTTAATAATATGTAAACCGAAATATTCGGTTTCGAATAATTATTGAATACGTCGTTTAGAACTTTAATTATTTATTATCATTATTATTATTTTATTAATCACAACAAACAAATTATTTATATTAAGCAATTAATCAATCAATTAATCAACTCGAAACAGATAGTTTACAATAATTTAAATAAAATTGACAATTAAAGCGATTAATTCTAGAAGGTGAAGTGATTAAGTGGAGTAAAAAATTTAGGGTCTTAATGTATGAATGTAAGGATAGTTTTATCGCTTAAGAGTAAAAATGAAAGATTTAAGGTTATATATATTTGCTCCATGTTTATTGTTTATTGTCCTGCTGTTCATTCTCTCGGTTACGGTTATCTTAAAAAAAATCGTGGAATTGATAATTTGTGAACCGAAGAACACTTTATTCAAAAGTTTGGAACTTGGTCTAGCGGGGATGTTAACGTTAATAAGATTATTCAAGAATCTCAAAGAAACAATCTTAATTACATGATAGAATGAATAATTTTTAAAATATCCAACATATAGCAGATGGTGGATATGGATTTGTGTATTCTGCGATATTAAAAAAAAAAGGTATAAATCGTATTAGAACTTTAATAAACAGGATTAGAAATATAAATTAAAAGGTGATAATGTTGCTTTGAAAGAAATAGATGATTCTAGATATGATATTTCTGAAATTTTTAAAACGGTATGTTTCTTTATAAATTATTTATTATCAATTCTTATTTTAATATTTTGTAATTAATTAATTTAATTAATTTGTCTTTTTTTTTTTTCTATTAGTATATGATTTTTCGTGAGCTTGATTTTGAAAGTATTACTTAATATTACGGAATTTCAAAAAATTCTTCAACACAAAACTATAATTTGGTTATGCAATTTTTTAAGTATAACTTAAATGATTTTTTGTCAATAAATTATTGTTATTTAAGATGGAAACCAAAATTAAATTTATTGATAATAATATTATGAGATCGTAAAACCTTACATGATAAAGATTTAGTTAATTGTGATCTTCATAGTGGAAATATTTTTGGTTCATTACCATATATTCCACCTGAGGTATTAAGAGGAAATAAATTTACACAAGAAGGTGATATTTATAGTTTTGGTGGAATTATGTATGAAATAATTACGGCCATTTGCTGACCAAGCACATGATACCTATTTGATGATTGATATATGTGATGGTGTAAGATCAAGGGTTCCTGATTTTATGTTAAATTGGATTCCAAAGTGATATTTAAATTTAATGTATCAATGTTGGAGTGACGAACGTCCAACAGTTTCTGAATTATATGATATATTTGAATTCATACCGAAAAACTTTTTGATAACATAGTGGATGATGATAAAATTATGCGAAGACTTAAACGTGCTATTGAAAAAGAATAAAAAAAATTCAAATCTCAAAAACAAGAATTATCTGAATTATTTTCATATTCAATTAAGTTACATTCTCAATCCTGTTATATTAGCAGATGTATTCATACCTTCATGGGTTAAATGATTTATTGGATAAAATCTCCAGGTAATATTTTTAGAATTAATTTAATTATTTTAATTATTTTTTATTTTGATAAATAATTAATTACAAATTTACAACAATTTAATTTATTATTAGATCTTAATTTATTAAAGTCCAATGAATCAACTTAATATTTATGATATTGGTTCTAAAGAATGATTAAAACATATTGATGAGAAAAGGCCAAAAAATTTTAAAAAAATTTAAAAAAAAATTTATAAAAATTCAAATAATGTTTATTGGAGGAGGTAATTTTCTAAAATATATTTTTATGCAGAGTTCACTATTAAAAAATCTTTTCAATTATAACTATTATTTTAATATATTGGTTCTTGATTAGATTGATTAATATTTTTTAAAATCATATGTATAGATATTTTTTGATGGTGTTTGTTCAAAAAATATTCAAGAAATTTAAAAATTTGTGCAGAATCATGTCATGTTGGCAAAAATAACTTTACAATAAAAAATTTGAATATCCAAGTCAATTTACTATTTAATATGTTTATGAAATTAATCAAATATTTTTAGAGAGAAATTATGGGAAATCTTTTAATTTATTATTGTGATAAAAAAGCAATTTTATGAAATATATTTTATTTTTATTTTTTAAATGAATATTTCAAATTTCCAACATTTTCTTCAATTCATTTATTATTATTTGAAACATTTTATCTCTATTTTGTAAAGTAATTTCCGAAACTTTAATATTATAATCACCACCACCACTGCCACCTGCACCAGTAAAAATAGATGAAGAAAAAGGTTTATGTGAAGAAGCATTTCTTATTTCTTCAGCTAATCCACCTTTAAATTTTAATGCTACTGTACCAAATATACATATTTTATTATTGTGATTATTATGATTATTTATTTTTTGATTAAATATCATATTTCTAACAATATCTTCAAAATCTTTAGAAAAACTTTCCATCTTTCCAATTTCATCTATTATAATTAAAGTTTTCTTCTTAATCTCATTTTTATTACTATCATTATCATTAAATTCATCGTTTTGATGAAGAATACTAGGAATAACTAATTTCTCAAATTCTTCCACATTTACGTAATAATCTCCCACTCTTGGCATATTATTATTATTATTATTATTACTTATATATTCATTTTTTCTTGCTAAAATTCCACGATTTCCATCCAAAGTTATGATATCAAATCCAATTCTTTTTTCATATTTTGATGATGATAATGTGGTTGTTACTTGTTCAGTATAAAATCCACGTAAAGAAATTTCCGGATTATTTGTTCGAAAATATGAAATTACTTTTGAGACTAACGTAGATTTTCCTATACGGGGTGGGCCTGTTAAGAATACTGATGATGATAAAGGCATCGTAGGAGGTGAGGTATTATTTGTATTTGTTATGATGGGAAATTTGACCTAGATTTATACGATATGATTGGTAATTTCCAACGTCGCGTGATCAAAAAATTCAAATAAATATTTAATAGTTTATAAACGAAACGCTTTTTTTTTTAGTGGTAGGTTATTATCATTATTGTATTTATATTTACTTTTAAAAAAAGGGTTAAGTTAATAATAGAAAAATAAAAGAAATGCATACCACAGTAAAATTTTAATTTATTCATACATTATATCACTCAAAAGAAACTGCGCTAATAATTAAATAATTTCTTACAAAATTATTATTTGATAACTATATTATACATGTAATTGCATTTTGACATATGCGTGATCAATTTTTATTACTTTGGCTGAAGTCATAATTCAACTACTATTTATATTATTTGATGAAGATATTAATCTAAAGGTAAAGGTATTATTGCATTCTGTTGATGTTAGTGATATTTAATTACGGTTATATTTAGTTGAAAGTCAACTTACAAAGGTCAAAATATTCAACATTCAGTGTGATGAATTATGTTTAAATCTTATAATACTATAATAATCACAGTGCCCAATTTTATCAATTTGAATTTAATTTAATTTGAGATTCGGTGAATAAAAATTAATTTTATATAGGAAACTTTTTTATCAAAAGTGAATCATGAAAATAAGTGATTTACAAAATTTTACCCCATTTATGACTAGTAATTTTTTTTTTTTGTCCTGGACAAAAATTAGATTGTCAAAGTACCTTAATTATATTGCATATATCATCAATCATGATTGATGATAGTTAGCTAAAAATCATAATAGAAATGTAGAGTTTATCGTGAGAAAAATGATTACTATTATTGTCTTTATTATTAATAAGAGCAATATATATATATATTTATTTGTACAAAAATTTTTGTTCAAGTAAATTTTAAAGTAACAGGCATCATAGCGGATGTATTTTTGTTGTTCTCAAATTTGAGGTTTCTTAATAGAATTTTGATGTTTAATTAGTAAATCAAAGGTTGAACATTAATAAAATAATCAATCGCAATGATTTGTCAATATCTAAAGAAATTATTAAAGGATTTACATTACATTTATTAATTTCGGGTAAATTTGCCCGAAATACCATTTAAGGAATAGTTAACCTGTGCCGAAGATAAGGTAATCTTCCAAAATTCTAAAAGTGGTAATAACCAATTTATTTGTTATTCTTATTGTGTGCGTCAATGTTGATGGCAGCAAAAATAGTAGATAAAAAGACCCAATTCACAAAGTTATATGATAATAAATTTTAATATTTTACTATCAACCTTCAATAATCGTTCGTTTAAAATCTTACTATACTCTAACTTTTATCTCTTCTGGCTCACAAAATTGCAATCGATTTTCTTATTATAACTCGAAAAGTTAACGTACTCGTTAAATTTAATTTAATACGATTTACCTAGTAAAATTTTTTGCGCACATATAATTCCAATCACCAATAAAGACTTTAAAGTCAATTTAAATAATAAACCTTATCTATTAACTATTATTAAAAACATAATCCGCGGTAATTTCATATTATATTTTTATTTGTAAATAAATTAATAATTAATAAATTAATATTAATTATTTAATTATTTAATCATACATTAAATTATGTTAACTTTAAATGAAATAGGAAATGGTTTCTCAAGATATTGAATGGAGTAAGAAATTAAACGATGTTTGGGATAAAGCATATTATTCTCTAGACATCAATATTCATAAAACAGTTACTGAGGAAGAAGAATATCAAAAAAGTATTTTTGAAAATGATTCATCTCTTACTGAAAATGAAAAGAAATTATTATTAAATGAATTACGGAATAAATATGATGCATTAAGAATTGGGGATGATTCTGTAGAAAAACAACAATGCAACATTTGTCAGAATTGGCGTCAAGCGATCCGATATTGTGAATTTTGTATTCGTAAATATTTAGAAACCAATTTTGGAAATTGGACATCTGGAAATAATGAAATTGATAAATTAATTCAAGAATGTCAGCAAGAAACTGCATCACCTGATGCCGTAATTGAATGGATTGAATATGATCAATTTGATGATGTTGAACGTCTGGCAGAAGGAGGATATGCTACCGTTTACACAGCAACTTGGAAAGATGGATGCTATGATGAATGGAATTCTGAAAGACAAATATTGGAAAGACTTGGAAGACAATATATTGTTTTGAAAAGATTGAATAACTCAAATAATAAAAATGTGAATTGGTTTCAAGAAGTAAGTTAAATTATTATTATTATCAAATTTATTATATTCTATTTGATATTTCAAAATATTAATTACATAATCACAAAAATTGATAGGTGACATTAAGTTTTACACTTGATGAATGTGATACATATCTCGTTACATGTTATGGACTAACCAAAGATCCAAGTACACAAGATTATATGTTAGTTTTAAATTATTACGATAATGATTTAAGACATTATTTAAAAGATAATTATCAATCACTTACATTATTACAAAAATATAATATTATTTACGATATAACTTATGGTTTATGTGAAATTCATGACCAAGATATTATACATAGAGATTTTCACTCCGGAAATATTTTATATAATTCACAGGATACTGTCTGGAGTATTAGTGATTTAGGATTGAGTGGGCCAGTTGACAAACAATTAGATAGTATCTATGGGAATCTCTCATACATTGCACCTGAAATTTTATGTAAAGAAAATTATACAACAAAATCAGATGTGTATAGTTTAGGCATTATAATGTGGGAAGTGATTACAGGTGAAACTCCCTTTAACGATCATGAATTCAATTCTGATTCTAATTTTGCTCTTGCAATAATTAATGGAGATAGACCTGAAATTTACGAATATATCCCATATGAATATGCAACTTTAATGAGCCAATGTTGGGATGCTAATCCTGATAATAGACCTGATGCAGAAATAATTAGAAATAAAATAGATTTATTAATTAAGTTATTATATAATGATATGGATAAACAAGAACCGACTATTAAATCTAACAGTTCAAAACCAAATTTTTCCAAATCAAGTTTAACGAAAGATAAAAATGACCAAAAAATCCAAACCAGTAAAGTATATACATTTAACATTTCAGCTCAACCTAAAAATGCCACGAAAGGTAATATTTTATTTTCTTATTTGTATTTTATTTTATTTTATATTTTATTAATTAATTTAATTAAATTTCATCATCTTTATAGAAGAACAAGAAGGTAAAAATCGCCCAAATTATTAATTCCAATAAAAAATTTCCAATCTATATATATTAATGTAATTTTTTACATTTTATTATTTAGCATATGGAACTAAACAATTTGATTTTGAAATTTCTGAAGGTACTACTATTTTATTGTTTTTTAATACAATTAAATATTTATTTTTTAAAAAATACTTAATTTATTTAATTTTTGTATTGCATAATTGTAGAAATTGAGCAACTATCTCTTAATAATAACGTTAGGGACGGACAATGATTTTATTTTATATCATTCTATATCGTAAATTTATTTATTTATTTGTTTCGATTTTAGATGATAAAGAATACGAGACTCGCAGTTTCAGTTTATTTTATATATATATATATTTTTTCATTTTTATGTATTATTTATTTTTATTATTTAACAATTGATTTATTATTTTTTATCTTTATTAAAATAAAATTATTTTACATTTATTTTATTATATGTCAGTAGTAATATACAATTATACAAAATAAATTAAAGAAAAATTTTTTCGAATAATGTTCTATTTATAATATTAACAAGGATGATGTTATATTTAAGAGAAATTTAAAAATTTTCTGTTATCAGAATATAATAGCGGATAGAAACAATTATTTTTAAAAAATTTATCAAGTAGCAAACGAGTCAAGTCAAACCCTACTTATTACTATTTTTAATGATAATTAAGATATTATTACAAGATATATTATTGGCAGGGAATAGTGAGGGTAATGCGTAAGTAAAATCTATTTTTGTACTAAGGTGTTTAGTGAAAGTCTGCTAAGTTTCTATTAAAATTGTAGTCATTTGTTCATATGATCATTTTCTTTTGATCTATGGATTTTCTTCTGTTAGTTAAATCAAATTATTTTTTTCAATAAAGCCACGTGAGGGTGTCTTTACTTTATCGTAAAGAGTTATGAATTATTTTACATCGAAGATTATATTTGCAAAAAAAGTTTCTTTTCTAGCGTGATCAATTTTTATTACTAATATTATTAATCTAGTATTCATGCATTAGCCTATTAGAACGGGAAAAAAAAATTAGATATCCAAGTATAGTTAATCGTCTATGCATAAGGTAAATATGTTAGGGCACGTCAATTCGGACTGAAATAAAATATTTTACTATTAATCTTCTATTAAAATATTACAATTGCTCGTTTAAATCTTACACTCTAACTTTTACCTATTCTGTGCCCACAAAATTATTTAATATTGCACTCGGTTTTCTTAACCTGTACATTAATATAATTTGAACACGTTAATTTAATTTAATTCAATGCCATTTGCCTAGTAAAATTTTTTGCACACATATATTCCAATCACTAATAAATAATTAAAGTCAATTTAATTAATAAACCTTATCTATTAACTATTATTAAAAACATAACCCACGGTATTTTCATATTATATTTTTATTTGTAAATAAATTAATAAACAATAAATTATAATTAATTAATTATTTAATCATTCATTAAATTATATTAACTTTAAATGAAATAGGAAATGACTACTCAAAAAATTGTACGGTATGGTAAAATACAAGAAGTTTGGGATAAAGCATATTATACTCCAGACGAAAATATTCATAAAACAATTACTGAGGAAGAAGAATATCAAAAAAATATGTTTGAAAATGATTCATCTCTTACTGAAGATGAAAAAAAAATTTTACTCAATAAATTACAGAATAAATATAATACATTAAGAATTGGTGATAATTCTATAGAAAAACAACAATGCAACAATTGCCAGAATTGGCATCAAGCAACCCAATATTGTGAGGTTTTGTATTCGTAAATATTTAGAAAATAATTTTGGAAATTGGACATCTGGAAATAATGAAATTGATAAATTAATTCAAGAATGTCATCGAAAAACTGTAGCATTTGATATTGTAATTGAATGGATTGAATATGATCAATTTGAGGATGTTGAACATCTGACAGAAGGAGGATATTCTACCATTTATACAGCATTTTGGAAAGATGGATGCTATTCTAAATGGAATTCTGAATGACAAATATTGGAAAGATTTGGAGGACAAAAGATTGTTTTGAAACGATTAAATAACTCAAATAATAATAATGTGAATTGGTTTCAAGAAGTAAGTTAAATTATTATTGTGCTTATTATATTCTGTCTGATATCTCAGAAATATTAATTACATAATTACAAAAATTATTAGGTGACATTAAGTTTCACACTTGATAATACTGCCCAATTTCTTGCTGCATGTTACGGAATAACTAAAGATCCAAGCACCCGAGATTATATGTTGGTTTTAGATTATTATGATAATGATTTAAGATATTTTTTAAAGGATAATTATCAATCACTTACATTATTACAAAAATACAATATTATTTATGATATAACATATAATTTATATGAAATTCATAAACAAAATATAACACATAGAGATTTACACTCTGGAAATATTTTATATAATTCACAAGATACTGTTTGGTATATTATTGATTTAGGATTGAGTGGGCCAGTTGATGAACAGTTAGATAGTATCTATGGGAACCTCTCATACATTGCACCTGAATTTTTATGTAAAGGAAATTATACAACAAAAACAGATGTGTATAGTTTAAGTATTATAATGTGGGAAGTGATTATTGGTGAAACTCCCTTTAACGATCATGAATTCAATTCTGATTCTAATTTTGCTCTTGCAATAATTAATGGATATAGACCTGAAATTTACGAATATATCCCATATGAAAATTCAATTTTAATGAGGCAATTTTGGGATGCTAATCCTGATAATAGATCTGATGCAGAAACAATTAGAAATAAGATAGAATCATTAATAAAGTTATTATATAACGAAATGGATAAACAAGAACCGACTATTCAATCTAACAGTTCGAAACCAAATTTTTCCCGATCCAGATAAAAGTGACCGAAAAATCCAAACCAGTAAAGTATATACATTTAACATTTCAGCTCAACCTAGAAACGCCACAGAAGGTAATATATTATTATTTTTATTTATTTTATTTTATTTTATACTTTATTAATTAATTTTCATCATCTTTATAGAAGAACAAGAAGGTAAAAATCGCCCAAATTATTAATTCCAATAAAAAATTTCCAATCTATATATATTAATGTAATTTTGTACATTTATTTTAGAATATGCAACTAAACAATTTGATTTTGACATCTTTAAAGGTAATGTTTTACTGGTTTTTTTAATACGATTAAATATTTATTTTAAAATTACTTAATTTATTTAATTTTTTATTGCATAATAATAGAAATCGAGCAACTATCTCTTAATAATAATGTTGATGATAATTAAATTATTTTATTTTTATACCATTCTATATTTATAATTTACTTTTATTTCGATTTTAGCTGATAAAGAATCTGGGATCGCGGTTTCATGACTAAATTGTTTATTTTTTTTTATATTTTCATTTTTTTTATTTTCATTTTTTTTTTATATTTTCATTTTTTATGTATTATTTGTTTTATTATTTAAACATTTGCATTATTTTTTTATCTTTATATTAAATAAAATTCTTTTACATTATTTTATTATATGTCAACTCAAGCGCATATACAATTATACAGTTCAATCTACGAAATAAATTAAATAAAATTTGAATAATGTTCCTTAATGTGCTATTTATAATATTAACAAATATGAGAAATCGTTTGAATAGTAATTTAATTTTTTTTTAAATGTCTATAATAATAATAATAATAATACTCACAATAATATAGATTTTCAATAATCAGATTTTAAATCTATTAATATTAATTTATTTTTTTATAATAAAATAGCAACAGTTGACAGTAACAACAAAAAAATAGCGCCAAAAAAATAGCAACAAAAATGGCGAAGTAAGATAAACAGATCAAAAACCTTTTTTTTTCTTTAACTAATTGATTTTCGTTTTAGGATACTACGGCGACAATGGTGATAAAAATAAAAAAAAACATGCTGCAAAAAAAAGCAGCAAAAAAAATAAAAAATATAATTGAACCGAAAATGTTTCGGTTCAGTTTCAGTTCTTCCGTTCAGTTCAAATAAAGAAACCGAAACTGAACTGAACTGAACGGGTGATCGTCCGGTTTGGATTTTAATGAACCGGACCGGCCGTTCGGTTAGGAGCTTTATATGTATTAAATTGTCAATTAATTTAATTTAATGTTTATTAAATTAAAAAAAATATTAAAATCACATAAAAGCCTACTTTAGAATAATTTCGAATAATTGAGCAGTTTAATAATTTTATTATTATAAATATCATTTCATTAAGGTGTGATGAGTGCACAGTGAATTTTTTTTATTTTGTTCATGACCAAGTTTCAATAATAACATTATATTCTTCTTTATCGTTAAGTTTGAAAAATCTTCAGATAATTTGTCCAAAGTTAAATGTTATTTTTTATAATGAAAATTTCATTTTTGAAAGTTACACTACAATAATGTAAAGAATGAACGTGACCAGGTTTTAAACAAAAAAGATGAACCAATGATCACATCAAAATTTGAGTAGAAATACGTGACTTGATAATTATTTTAATACTAGCCTAATAAGAATGCTTTATTTATTTTCGAAAAAAATAATTTTGATACCATATTTTCAATCTTATGTATTTATCATCGAAGTTCAATTGCAAGCAAGCCAATAGAGGTTTTGCTTTTGTGAAGTATGTTCATCACATATTATACTATTATATTTAAATTTTATTTTAAGCGATCGTAAATTTACAAAATACAAATAACAATGATCGAATTATTAAAGTAATTCATTTTCATATATTGTCATTTGTACATTTATATCGAATATATATTTAAATTTTTTGTGATTAGTGTTCATGAGAAAAAGATCGTTAGTTGCTGCTGTTGTATCAGCTCATCACCACGATGCTGCTGTTGTTGACGCTAATGTCACTTCTACTATAATCCCCTTGTGCTCCCACTTTTCCACTTCATTCCATCACTCATCCTCCAGGTCACAAATAACAATAATCAAACCAACAAGAAGTAACAAGAATTATCAAGTGGGAAGATTATATGAAATTATGAGATAAAATAATATTAGATTTTTTTTTTTTTTAAAAAAAAAGATGAGTGTTGTTTCATTAAATATCATCACATATTATTTTAATATTTCTTTTCTCTTTTATTATTTTCTTCTTTTCATTATTTTTCATTTCATTTATCATAAAAAAAAGTTTATTTTCAATATTACTATATAATTCAAGTTCAATTCAATAATTTTCATCATAATGTTTTTTTTTGTTGTTTCGTTGAATTGTATTGAAATTTATATTTCTCTTTTTTTTTGCTTTCTTTATTATTATTTATTTTTCTTTATTTTTATATTATTTTTTTATTATTATTTGATCATGTTTTTTTATTATTATTATTATTTTAGAAATGAAAGAAAATTAAAATATACCGATTATAATAATACTATCTCATACACTAAAGAAAAATCCACCCAGCGATGAAATAATCTCTTCCGGCAATAATATTATCTCATATGCTAAAGAAAAAATTCCATCCAGTGATGTAATAGCCTCTTCTAGCCATGAAATTCTCGTCTGCTATGCAAAAAATCTCACCTGCCGTCCAACAAGTAAAGGAATTTGCGCGAAAGAATCCCAAAATTACTTATATCGGTGGGTTGGTTTAATTGGACATGTCGTAGTAACAGGGGCAAACGGGCGATGGGATTTCAAGCAGGTGGTGTCGCTGCTGAATCTTTGGCAGCTAAATTAACGGAACCAGTGGTTCTGTTATTCTAACTTTGCAATCTGTTGGTGCTACAGGTCTGTACATTATCTTATATTACATCTTTAACTGGTGCAGTTGGTGGTTTTGTAATAGATAGCAAAGATTTAATTTAAATTAAATATTACATTATGTACTGTTTAACACAGATACTACTATTAGAATTATCATTATCAACATGAAAGGTCCTGATTAGTGAAAACGAGCACGAATTTCTTTGCTAAAAGTATAAAAAAAAATCAAATAATGATATTCTTTATAAACATTTCCATTTTAATTATGAAAGAATTCTTTATATAGAAGAATCTGTCTCAGTTTCATATGTTACACAATGAAGATAAAAATATACTGTACATACTGTATATTAGATAATTAATACTATAATAATGTAGCGAAAACAGTTTATAATTTCTAAACAATAAAGATACTACTGAGATTTTATTAATTTTGCGATGCTTGCTTTTAATAATAAAGGATTGCATCTGCAAGTAATTTAAACATATATAAAATGATTCTTTGGAAGTGTAGGATTATGATGTGCGCTCTCTTTTGCTATTGTTTTGTCATATTATATCCTTTGGAATAATAAACTTTTTTATATCATTCAAAGGCTATTTAATGTTATATTTATTCATGGATTTAACCCTCTGAAATCAAACTTTATTTTTTTTCCTTCAATATATTGATATAGTTATTAAATAACAATGTATTCTTCCTTATTCTTGACAACTTTGTGTACTTATATAAAATATCTTATATGAAAACAAGGTACTATAATTTAGAAACATTAATTAATATTCATCGAATAATAAATTTAATTTCAAAATAAAATATTTCTTTTTGGGAAAAATTATTTTTTATTAGCAAATTTTTATTAAAAAAATCTAAAAATCATACTATAATAATAATAATAATTACATCACTTAGCGTATTTATTAACAATGTGATTAAAAAAGAAAATTATATAAAACGCCTATCAATTTCATTTTTTAGTCTTTAGAAATAATGATAATATAAAAAAAGTCAAACACGAGAATGTCATTGGCATTACGTAAAATTCTATTTTTTAATTTGAAAAAATATTGTATTGTACCCTTCTAAGACCACTAACTATTTTAGTCCATAAATAACACAATATAATCTGTATATTATTATAATCAAAAAAAACTTAACCGCGTAAGGAAAATAATAAATATAAAAGTTCAGCAAAAAATATTATCGTATTTAATATTTTCAAAATAGGAAAAATATTGTTCATTGAAAATTTCATTATTGTTATTATTGTTACAAAAGCCTTACCCTAAAATAAGTAAGTTAGAGTAAAAAATTTTTACTAAAATAAAATAAATTTATTCCTGGAACACAAAAAACATATGTATATGACCAAATTACTACAGAATTGTTAAAACCCCCTCTATAACTTTGAATCATCTTATAACATAAGATGCATTGATAATTGATACGCGATACATGCACATATAAATACCTCGACATTTCTTTTACTTAAGTAATAATTAAAAGATATTATCTTCCTCTGAGGTGGTGTGGTGGAAATCCTTTCAATTAAAACACAAAGATTTCAATGAACTATACGAACATTATAAGTTAAATTTGTCTTCTTCCAAAAAAAAACAATATTACATTTAAATCAATAAGAAGATATACAATATATTTAATATATATTAAGAACGAAAAATTAGAAAATTTTATCTTGCTGATGAACATGCAGCAGAAATTTCTTCTTGGATTAAGTAACTATTCTTACAAGAAGAAATAATCCATATGAATTTCAATTGATTCCATATGTGGAAGTAGAGATGGATTTTTCGTTCCTCTAACTTTTTAGAATATTTGGCATGGTTATATAAATTATACTTATTTGTTAGCATATACATAATTAGAATTATTAAAAAAGATAGTTATAAAGAATTTCATCTACATTAGATAGATGAAATTCTTGGTGGATATAATCCTTTAGATGTGTTTATTTATAGGTTATTTCATTGACGTTAATAAATGATAGTTTTATTTTTTCATAGAAAAAATTGATAGATACATTAAACACATACTAAAGATATTGGAATTTGATGTAGAGGAATATTTGGGTGAACCAAAAATAAATCCAACAACCGGTGTTTTGCAAACAAAATCAATGCTATCAACAAGAACGCGAGATCAACTATAATGATATTTTATTATGTATATTTTACATTGTATCATATTTTTAATAAATCGATAAAGTACAAGAAAATAAAATTTTTTTTTTTAAAAAAAAAATGGTATGAAAAATTTTACTGCACTATAACATCGATCGTTTTATTTTCGTAAAGAATCGAATTTTATTATTCCAAATGAAAATAGTAATAATTATTAAGCCAAATTTTTGATATTATTCTTAAGTTATAAATTATTTGATAATAAATAAATTACATAATTATTTTATAATTTATTTATTTTATATTAGTTATATTAATGGTGGTATTATTAATTTAGAGAATGTTGAAACAGTAATTTTTTTAACTTCATGTTAACTATAGGTAGATTTTAAATATTTTATAATCTATAATAGAAAAATCATCATTAGTTGTTTTAAAAGGTAGGTTTCTCATAAAAAAGAACAATTTAGTTTATCTTGAGTAAAATATATACCTGATTGCATCATGAATTCACGACTTCCAAAATATAGTCCATAATTATCTTTTTTAACAAAATATAATAAAGCATAAATTCATTTCTAACTCTACTAAGAGTTGAATTTTGGAGGTCGCCATCTTTAAATGAAGAAATAAAAATTTTATTGGTTTTCACCCAATCATTTTTTGTTTTATCCCAAGCTAAAGGATTAAATCCTCCGATAATTTCATTTATTCCTTCAACTTTGGTGATTACAATTGTATTTTCATGCCCATCGCAAATATCCCCAAAAAGTTATTGGAGCAAATCCACCCTTACTTCCTCAAAGAATTAATTGAAATTCATAATGATTATTTCTTGAAGAATAACTTGTTCGATTATCAGTCCATAATGAAATCATTGCTGCATGCTCTTCAATGGTTATAGTTGAAAATGGTCATTTACTATTGTTGGCAACTCTTGAGTTAAAACCAATCTTGATGGAAGGATAAAATGTTAATTCCACAATTGTCTATCAAGAATTTTCTTATATGGCTTTACTTAATCCATTAAATCTGAACTTGAAATTTGAAAATAACGAATAAATGGCAAGCATTGTTGTTTTTAAGTTTTTGTCAGATCATTCTTCTAATTTCTCGGGTAAAGCAGGAGTTCCCCACTTAATTACATAATCCCAAATTTCTGATTCTTTCATCTGTAGGTCATCTCGTTTTAAAATCGACACTAAAGTAGATTTATTAAGAGAAGTGAATTCTGTGGATTCAAAAATAATACTTGGATGTTTTACAATAATATTATTATTTAATTTGTTGTTTTAAAAAAATTGAATGATAAACAAAGGTGAAATGAGTTCTTAACCAAGAAACTTTGGATTCAATAAGATGATTTTCTAATTTCTCTGGTAATTCCTCAAACAACTACCATCTAAAATAAGCAAATCAGCAATATCAAATTCGGCCAACTTTCGCCTAAATTCGGCTATCAATAAAATTCAGCCAAAATTCAGAATTTCTGAATTCGTACTGAATTTTAATAAATATTTCAGAAATATAATATTTCGGCCTAAGTTCAGCCAAAATTCAGAATTTTTGAATTTGGTCAAGGCTTAAAAATCAGCTTATATTCAGATTTAAGTTTTGACCAAAATTCAGTTATTCTAAAATTTATCAACTTAATTCGATAATTTGGCAATATTCATCAACAATTCTGCTGAGATTTGTTCAAATTTCAGCTTATTAATGAAATTCAGCCAAATTTTGACATTAATAACTTTCAACTAAAATTCAGAAGTATTGAATGTTTGCTGAAAGTTAAAAATCAGCTATAAATTTCTCAATTCAACCATTCTCTACTACAATTCAATATTAAGTAGAATTTGTGCTAAAATTTATCATGAATAAAATTCATCCTACTGAATTTCTAATAAAAATTTTCTGATTTTTGTTATATAAAATTATTATTTTGGCAATATTATTTTCATCTATTTTCAGAAATGTATTGTCAAGAATTAGCTATTAAAAAAATTTGGTCTTATTGAATTTTAAAGATGGAATTTCAGATATGTAGCATTTTGGCCATTTTTATCTGATTTATTATGTACATAATTTATGTATTTATAAATAAACTTTATATTCTATTTTATTTTAAAATTCAGTAAAAAATCATACATTTAAAATTCATATTTTCTTTTTAAAAGGAAAGTTTAACAAATTTTCAACAAAAATTATATAACTTATTCTTATAATCAGAGATTAGATGCAATCCTTCCAAGAATATTATAAAAAATTTAATAGAATACTATCTTTTCAATAATAATCATGTAAAATATATATACAAAAATCAGAAAGAAATTGAGATTAGTTTTTATCAAAAAATCTAGAATTTGGTAGCAGTAGCATATCTCTGAAATATTTCAGATATGAAAAATCAGACAAAATTTTTCCAGAAAATATGTATAAAAATACTTCAAAAGTTTAAAAAGTTTACTCTGGTTATACATCATGCTTTTATCTATTTTTTTCTTTTTTCTTTTTCTATCTCTCTTATTATTATGTTTCAAGAAAAGAAAATCCAATAAATTATATCTTCACAAATTAAACTAAATCAACTAAAACTTCAAGAAAAGGTATCAATATTACTATTTCTGTTTAATCTACACTCACTGGTAAAAAGTATAGAGACACCTGACAATTTTTAAAAATAAATCATTTTAGTTATTCTATATAAA